AAAAAGGCAAAAACTAAACATAATGTGTTTTTACAAATTGTTCTTTGACAATGTTAATAATCAGCTTTTTACAGATTTTACCCACATTTGGTAAATTACAGAAAATCAGTAAAAATCACAACAAAATAAAAAGTAAACTCCCAAACTGTCCATCTGTACGTCAATCATCTGTGATTTAATCTTTCACAGCGTCTGACCATAAAACACAGTTTTACCATCTTTAAATCAACTCAAAAGTGTTTTTATGGCACAAATGTTTGCTGTTACTTTCACAGTTTTTAAATGCTACAGTCTGCTGTTCTTGTATTTTTATTTTTTTTCTGCTACTCTTTTGAAGCCTGAAGTCTCTGAAACGTTCTGTCAGTTGGATTCTGACCAGCAGGTGTCAGGTGTTGCCCATATTTGCTGCTGGAGTTCAGCAACAGGACGTCCATCTGCTTCGAGGTTGTGCTGTGGACCCTGGCGCCGCTCGTCCGCCCGTCGCTGCTCCTCCGCTCGGTGCCGGCGGCGTTCATGGCGGCCGGCGTGATGCTGAACACCCTCCTGAAGCTCAGCTGCGACCTGAAGGCCTTGCAGAAGATGAAGTAGATGAGCGGGTCCAGGCACACGTTGAGCACCGACACCATGATGCTGAGCTCCTTCAGGTGGTAGAACACCTGGTTCCACGAACACCACCAACTGGTCCGGAAGGCGTAGGGCAGGCGGACCAGGTGGTACGGCACGAAGCACACGCAGAACACGCTCACCAGCACCAGCATGTTGCGGCGGGACTTGGCGAGCTTCTTGGAGCCGGAGGACGCCGGCTGCCTCTCCTGCGCCTGCGACAGCCGGCGGGAGATGCTGCGGTAGAAGAAGACGAGGGAGACGAGGACGAGCAGGAAGATGGCGGCGGAGCAGGCGTGGATGATCCTGTAGAGCAGGCTGAGCTGCGGGCTGTGCAGGATGTCGCACCTCGAAATGTTGGTGATGGAGTCCGGGGCCTGCTGCGTGAGCAGCGACACCAGGACGTAGATGCTTGTCATGGCCAGGAGGCAGCCCCAGGTCACCATGGAGACGATGTGGGCAGCTCGCACCGTCTGCAGGACGTGAGTCCCCAAAGGATGGACGATCTTCAGATACCTGCAGAGACAAATCAGCAGATAGATGAAGCTACGATGGGTTAAGTTTGGAGATACGGTCTCTATAAAACACTCTCCTTGAAAGGTTTCGTCTTTTAAATGTTGAATCAGATTTAATTTGGCTTTTTGACAAGAATTTACAAAAAGAAACCAGATTTCTCCAAAGTACAGCCAATTAATAGAAAATTAAACATAAGTGCATTCACTCAGAGTTCACCGTCGTCCAGTGTTTAGAAGATGAACCTTCAGGTACATGATTGGTCCTGTTGGTCTCCATCAGTCTGAACATCTGGACAGTTTCACCTCATTGTTCTGATAAAACTGTTCAGACTCTGTCAGGTTCCACAGGGATCATGAGT